CCGGCCGCGGCTCCCGAGCGGCGGGAGGCCCCCCGGCCTCCCGCCGACGCCCGACTGGCGAGCCGGGAGGGCCGCCCCGCGCCGCCCACACCCCCGGCCCCTCAGCCCCGGGCCGGCGAGAATTTTTCCCTCACCGGCCAAGAACGCCGGACGCTGCGGCCAGACCCGCGCACTTCACCCCGCCTGCGAAGGCGAAGGGCTTCGCCTCCCGCCGCCGAGCCGAAGCGGGAGCGCGGCCCGGCCTCTCCACGCCGGCCTTCCCCCGCCCCCATCCAGCCGCCACCGCCCTCCCTCGCCTCACGCCGCCTCCACACAGCACTGCACCCCCGGGCTGGCCGAGGAAACCCTCGCCTGACGGGAACCGCCGGGCGTCTTCCAACCCCGCCCACCCCACTCCAGCTTCCCGCCAAGCGGCAGCGCTCCCCCAGCAATAGGAGGTGAGGCGGGCTGATGGTCGCGTTAGCCGCCATGTTGGACCCAGACCTGACCGATCGCTACCGCCTCCCGCAGAAGTAAAGGGCGGCCCCCGGTTGCCCCAGAATAACTTCAACCAAGTAGTTTTCCGTATGTGGAAGATGGATGTAGTCAATTAGGACGATCAGATGATGCCAATCATCGCATTAATGAAATTCTCGTGCACCTTCATTCACTGTAATGAATGTGGATGGCCCTTCCCACAGCAGTGTTTTCTCCTCCTGCCTGATGTGCGGAAAACAGACTCCACAATCAGTGAGATTGTAAAGTAGGTATGTTCATTCAGCGCTGGGCAGCACGGGGGGTAGTCCCACCAAAGTCGTGCGCACCCGACTTGGTAGTTTGCTTTAAATTTATACAGTCAAGTGTTACATATGTATAGAGTTTCGCAATACGCTTATACATAGGCATTACCTATCCCCGCTTCATATTAAAATTAGCTCCAGGAAGTCATTTCCATAGTCTCCTCTCAACTGCGCTTGCGCAGTGCCTCCTTACGGTGGTCGTGTGGTGGTCGTGAAGATGAAGGCTGTATGTCTTCTTCACGGTGAACTCTTAACCTTCTGTCCCTGCGCAGACTCAGTTGTCCCTTGGCATTTGTCCAAATCACAAGGTCGGTCTTGGCTGGTTCTTGGAGTCACTGCTGCTTCTTATCAGGGACTATCTCCTGCCCCAGCCAGCCTCAACAATGCAAACATTAAACATCCGCTTCTCATCCCCTTGGGCCATGTCTACCTCTATTGAAACTTCTTTAACTTCATTATAAGCTAAATAATTATTAAACAATTCCTATCTACATTCATATATCTACTATATCTACTAAGGTTCCTTTGGTTTCCCGTCTCAGCCTTACTGCTGTTTTCCATATTTCACGTAAAATAATCACTTTCTTCTTCCTGCTACTTTTGTTTGTTTACTTAACTAATGGCTTTTTTCTATATTTTTATATTCATATCTAAGATTTTTATCTTTGTAAAATGTTCTCCAATTTGTAATAGTGAGACATGTATTAAATTTATGTCCACTCAATTCTTTTGTAGTCTTTTCTCTTACCTATTTATTTTACAGAAGTTTCCAAGTGAGAGATCATAATCTCAACCATTGTTATGATCCTTACTACATACAATTCAGTTTTTCTAAAATCTACGACAAGCACTTCAGAAAAAATCTACTCCAAACACAAAGTGAGATTGCCATCCTGAAGAAATTAGTCACAAACCTCGGATCCATGCCAGGAGTTCATTTATGCTTTTCTTCAACAAAAATCCCAGCATGATTATTTTTTTATTTACATGCTTGCCTCCACAAACTCACAATTATGTTCTTTAGGAAGCTGAGCTATACTTAAACAGAGAGGAGCTACTAGCTACCACAGGAACTGCTCACCTGTGATGTTACTTCCAGAGTTAAAATACCATACTGCTCAGGTAAAGCTTATCCATCTCAAGAAGTCACACTGCACGTAAACCAAGTTGAGAACTCCTTGTTACTGCTATGAAATGCAGAATGACTAACAAATTACAATTACTATGGTAATGATAGAATAGCTGGTGGTTCTTAAGTAAAATATTACCTCTGAGTAACAGAAGAACTGTAGGGCTGAGTTTTCATTGCCATTTGTTAGCTATGCACTGGGAAAGAAAACTCCTTTAGGAAAGGTTCTGACTGAGCCTTGTCCAAGAGCTTCCGTTGCGTAGCAGCTCTCACCTTCCTTTCTCATAAATACACGCAGTGTGAGCTATGGAAAAAAAAAAACCCACAGAGATATGTTAGTTTTCCTAGAACAGGCTGATGTTGTCAGTCCAACATTTGTATTGCCTTAGCGGGAAAGAAAATTTCAAGCTGAAAAAAAAAATCTGATAATATATTCAGAGAAGCAATATGCCACAATTATCCAGCAGTGTCACTGAGATGCCTCTATAATGCAAAATCCATAGCAGCAAGTGATGCCAGACTGCATTTTCCTCTGTGAACTGAGTACGAGCTATGAACGCTCCCATGCATCTTTTGGGCGATACCTCATTACTGCAGGAGATAATGGCCAATATTTCATACCTTTTTCTTTTTTGAAATGATACTAAACAGTAAGTTACAGACTAAAACTAATAAGGAATCATTCACTTGCCAGAGCTGGATTGTTCCTCGTAGCTTATCCTGTGTTCCTTAAGAGTGTATTTTTTCTATAATGGCACTTCTGCTGGAGCTGAGGAACAATACATAATTACATGCTTTATTGTTATAATTTGAGCCTCTGGGTACTGTGTTAGGGATGAGATTTTCTTTCAGCTCTATTCTTTTACAATTCTTTCAAAAAGAATCTCTTCCTCTGATTTCCACAGAGCATCTTAATTATTAAGAGTACAGACTCTACCAAGTGGTGTTGATTTAAATAACCAGAACTGAATCACAGCAAAGGTTAAAGAGAGAGCACAGTCTGATTGCAGTAAGATTTATTTTTTTCTCTCACAGTAAATTTGCCTGTGCTCTTGGGCAAGTCTTTGAACTGTCTTTTCTAGGGTATCATAATGTATGTTCATCAACAGAACAGTGCTAACGGAAGAAGCCTTAACTTTTCTCATCTCTAAGCTCCAGCAACCAACCTGACAAACCTGGACTGAAACCATCCCAGACTTCATTTTGCGCTGCCATTAATCTGCACGACTTCACGCTGGAAGGACGCAGCCCGAGGATGTGCTGTTTTCTGTGCTTCGGGGGG